TTACAAATGTTATCTGTGAACTCACGGTGAATTCACGATGCATTCAATTTTGAAGATTCACGGCGTGCGACCGGTGTGAGTTTAATGTGCATTCACGAATGTTATCTGGGTGGTAATATACTTGTGACACTATAGTGTCACACCAAAGCAAAGGACTACCTGAGCTTATATACTCTTCATGTAAGTCAACAGAGGCGAGATTTAAGAACATCACGTGATCCACACCGCCTTTGCCGCGATCGGTACACACTATGCAACCGGGAATGCACGGCAAATTGTTTTAATCGTTTTAACAGAGTGATTTAGGTTGAAGTAACTCTTATTTTACAAACAACGTATTTAGTAAACTGAAGTTTTCTGGGTTAATTTAACCAATTTTAAAAAAATAAAATAACTATCTGGTTTAGTACCGTCAAACTAATCTTTGTTTATATTAACCTTCCCACAGTTGATTTAAATAAATACTTATGGGTCAACTAAATTAATATAGTTAAATGAACTATTTCTTTTTTTCTGTGTAGGTGCACTCCTTGAATATTTTTAGATAAACACCGTTTTGGTGTTTGCTGTATATAACATTTTCAACCATAATTCATGGTGTTTATATTAACACCACTTGGTGTTGGATTTTGACACCATTTTAAGATTACTCTTTACACCACAGATATTTTAAACAATTTTGAAAAAAAACCATTTTCCTACAGTGCATAAATACCATATTTCCAAACGCACTTACCACTTAATTATAATTACTCACTTAGTTGTCCAGCGCAATAATAAAATGCCGATGTGTTGTTTATTGTAGACAATTAATGTCTGCTCATGACAATTCCGCAACGGTCTATAGAGTAATAATGCAACGAAATTTCGCGTTCAGCGTGGTTAAGGTAATTGCATTTCTACAGTTAAAATATCTATGGAGAAACAACTGCGGCTTTAACAATGTTTAAATTATGATGGGCTTCAATGCAGGGTGTGCCTGTCTAGACTGGTCTATCATCATTTGAATATTTACAGTACCTAACCTACGCATCTTGTTTCATCTTATTTTGTTTATCCATGATACAAGAAAACAAGGTAAAGTTCATTTTTTTATCTGTACTGCGGCAACGTTGCAAATTTAGGGGTTTGGTTGGTAAAATACGGAACCATTGATTTAAACAAACTAAACTATAGTTATAAATGTAAATAATGTAATTGTGGTTATGTTTAAATTATTGTAGGTTACATTGATGGGTTGTCAAGTTGTGTCAAGTTGAGTTGTTAAAATTCGTAGTTAAAAATTTCTATTGTAATTTTACCAAACATGTTTAGGAAGTTTTTACGCACCACAATACAGTAATAATAAAACTCAGTTTTGTAAATTCACTAAACGATTCATTACAACTCAATTTGGGAAAATTACAAAACGTTTGTTGAAATTCACTAAGCATTTATTAAAAATTTGTTCAGTAACATTACTATACAGGTATTGTAATTTTGCTAAAAAAAATACTAAATATGTTTAGTAATTTTAAAATGGTGTATTGTAATTATAGATACTATACAGTTCATTTTAACTCAGTTTAAGAACATTACAAATATATTATTTTACAATTTTACTGAACTGAAGAAAATTCGCAATATTACAATACAAATATTGTTACTTTGTACAAGAAATTACATTAAAAATATTTAGTGATTTACGAATGATGGTATTGTAATTATACTACGAAAAAAATCCCGCAATTTTCTTAGTTTCTTCAAGAAACTTTCTTGACCCATTACTGTAAAGATTTAAAAAATTGAATTTATCAGATAGACCTATTTTGGGTTTTATCAATGTCGGGTAATTTGGTGTATTGGAACACACCATAAACGAAAGACACCTGAGCTTATATACTGTTCACCTAAGTCAACCGAGGCGAGATGTAAGAACATCACGTGATTGCCGCAAGCGGTACATATTCTGCACTTTACATAACATTATAGCAAATCAAATTACAAACAACGTTTGTAAATCTAAGATGCTTTTTATTAGAAACTGTCAAAGTTTAGTAAAATTACTGTAATTGTAACAATACGTGTAGGATTTATACATGTATAGATTGTAAAATTACAACTTATCTTAATAGATTTTCCAACATATCTTGGAAGATTTCTCAAATTGACAAATTATTTGAAATTGTATTATAATTTTGTATTGCTATACACTGATTTGTAATTTTACTCATTCTTTGTTTTGCAAAACAATTGTAATTTTACAAAAAAATTTAACAGTGTACCTACATGATTAAAATTATATATAGTAAAAATGCAAACAGAGGTTGTAAAATAAATAATGATTTGTATATTTCCAATCACTTATTGTAATTCAAATAGCAAATTTTGGTTAGTAATTTTATCGATTATCTTAGTAAAATTAAATTCCGAATAAGAATAGAAATTTTACAAAATTTCATATTCAATTCTATAATACAGAATTGTAAAATTACTATATAGACCAGTGCAGAAGCCTTTAAAAATGGTAAAAAGAGAAAAAAAATAACAGTAGTGAAACCCATTGGAAAAGGAGGGGAATATAATAAAAATTAAAGGAAAAATAAATTACGGGCGATCTGAGTTCGGGAAGTGGGAGGGGGGGGTTAAGGGTAAAAAATGGTTTATCTCGATTTCCGGTAAAACTACAAGTCCTATGGAAAAAAGTTAAATGTCAAAGTTGTAGGTAATAAAAAGATCTACAACTTTTGTACCTATTTACAACGAAAAAAAGTCGAATTCGAAAATTTATTTTAATCATTGTGTACAATTTCATCAAAAAAATGTGATTGTTGCAATTTTTTTTAGTTAAAAAGTTTATTTATTAAATTCTAATAACATTTATGTCAGAAAATCTTATAAAATATAAAAATACATGTAAATCATACTATTGAATTTAGATACTTCATTCTGATTACGTTATTCATTATAATATTTTTTGTATTTTCTGAGAACATTTACCATAGTAATGTATATTTTTTTTACACCATCAGAAAGTAGAGAGTTCATCGAACAAAAAGCACACCGACTTTTTGAAAAAAGCTTATATTTTGACGCGAGAATTTTCGATTGAAAATTAGGGTGCTTTTTTGATATTAAGTCAAAATAAGGCGAAATAATAAATATTTCTAATCAAATAAATTACAGTGTATTTGGGACATAAAAAGGTAAGTTTTCACCAAATTTCGTGGAAAATTTTTTTTTTTTGAAAATAGTAAAAATAAAAAACCAAAAACTTGGTTTTTTGAATTTTTCACATAAATTTTGAGGTTATGTAAAAAAATTGTAATTACAAAAGTTGTAGATCCTTTTATTACCTACAACTTTGTCATTTAACTTTTTTCCATAGGACTTGTAGTTTTGCCGGAAATCGAGATAAACCATTTTTTACCCTTAAAACCCCCCCTCCCACTTCCCGAAGTCAGATTTATTTTTCCTTTCATTTTTATTATATTATACTTCTTTTCCAATGGGTTTCATCCTACTGTTATTTTTTTTGGTTTCGAAAATTATCGACCCTGGTCTAATAAGTATCTGACAAAAACAAAAACATTGTAAAATTGAAACCTGTTTAGTACTTTGGCTATAACAAAATGTAATATTACAACAAATGCGTAGGTATTTAAATTGCAATACAATACCACATTTTGTAATTTTACAATGCAACTGCTTAGGAAAAATGCAGTAATTTTACAAACATTTTTAACAGTGTAGCATTGAGTGTAGGTTACTACGGCCCAGGAGAGACAAAATATTCTCATAATAACTAGGGCCCGGATTTTAGGTAAAACACCTTTTGTTGGTTTTTTAGGTTTTAAAGATATTTTTTTGTATTTGCCCGTTTTATAAAAAATGGAGTCATCTGACTAAGTTTTATTTGACCTAAAATACCTTTTTTATATTTTTTTCACCTATTTTCCTTTTTTGCACCTAAATTGTATTTTTAATACCTAAAATGAACTTTTTTTACCCGTCCTGTGTCGTTGAACGATCATTCTCTTGGTTTAAAAATGTTTTGACTGATAAACGCACTAGCTTTACTTCTAAAAACTTGGAGAAATATTTTGTCTGTCATGCATATAATCGTTAAATAAATTAATAAAATTTATTTTTTTTGATTTTAGAGTTCCTATTTTGTTTTTTTTTGTAACTTTAGAGTTCCTATTATGTTTTTTTTTGCTATTTTACATTATTTGTGATATGATATATTTACTTTTTTAAAGAATCTTTTATTTTATTTGTTATTTTTCCAACCAAACATTTTTGTTCAGTTAATGTTAATAATAAATATTATTTTAATAACTATTTCATTTTTAATTTAAACCCTTTCTTGCCGGACATTAACAGAGCAATTATAACTAAAACTACATAAGACCTATGTATGGTTTTACAACGATATCGACATTATAATGAAAACATTTTATTTCAATAAATCAGCTTATATTATTTTTTTATTTAAGTACCTAAAATGTAGGCACCTAAAATAATAACCTAATTTAATAACTATGTGACCTATTTTTTGCATTTTTTTTACTTTTTTATAACCTAAAAATACGGGCCAACCAATATTAACTTTTTAATTAAGTACCTAAAATATAGGTACCTAAAATAATAACCTATTTTATTAAAAATATCACCTAATTTAGGAACCTTTTATCACTTTTTTATGACCTAAAAATCCGGGCCTTAATAATAACTAACAATAACTAAATCAAACTGGCGTAAGCTACCAACTTAATAAGAGAAATTTATTTGGATGTGGACACATTTTATTAAGTTGGTAGTAATAAACTTCAAAATAACTCTCACTAAAACCTAATTGTCAATAAAGGCAATTCGAAATTTTGTGGAAAGAATCCTCAAAAATCAAAATTAAACGTTTAATTAAAAGAAGAAATATGGTGCGCGGAAAAATTATATTTTTTCTCCTGCCGTGTCCGCTACTTTTGTTCTTCGATGTCCCCGTGGTATTTCGATTTCTCATGGCGAGTATGATAATGTGCAAATTATTTTTGGACGTTTACAAGTCAAATTGGTACAGCAAGAAAATCAACCTATCAGACAGCCAAGAAGTTAGCGTCAGCAAACGAACATTAAATGTGAAATCTAAGAAATAAAATAGCATTTCTAAAAGTCGTTTTTTTTCTTTGCAGTTGGACAACATTAACTTGTGCCTGAACGTGCTGAAAAGTCAGCACGTGTCCGGCGTGGAAAGCGTTTCAGCCCAGGAACTGAAGGATGGAAAGCTGAAAGCGATCCTTGCGCTTTTTTACGCCCTCTCTCGACACCGACACGCCAAAGTCCGAGCTCAACAGCAAGAAATGACGCCTAACAGGTATGCAACCCAGTATACGCGCTCGCACATTTACTGCCTACCTTCAAAACCCCAACTTGAATTTTATTAAAATGGGAAGTAGTAGGTACAGAGTGTAAAATAGATGTTATATATATTATAACATTAAAGCGAATGTAAAACAAACCATAAAATCTAGATTTAGCATGACTAGTTAATGTTGCCATTAAGTAAAATGACTTCTTAACTCTTGAAACTCTTTGAACTTAAGTAATTAAAACTAAAATCGTAAAGTTTATTTGAATTCTTTGTTTTTCTGGATTACGCGAATCGTACGTATAGTAATTTATTTTTGTTTACTTTAAGTAATTACCTTTCTGGACAGAAAACTCGTTTAAAACTTTATGTGAGAAATTGTGCTCTTTTAGTTCCACCCTTGCTTCTAAATTAAGAGGACCAGAAACCATTTTTTTGTATGTATATATATATATATATATATGTATATATATTATACAAGGTTTCTGGTATTTACGTTGACTTTTTTGTCACTATCCTTCTATAGAATATATATATATATATACATATATGTGTACTTAACTACACTAGTTTACAAAATCGAAAAAAAATTCTGCCCACCAAATCCCATAATAACTTTCCCATGTATTTTGACCCACTAAACACGAAAATCACATTCAATTTTTTTTTATGGAAGCGTTTTTGAATTATGAATTTTCAATTGTTTTTTTTTTTTCAATTTTCGGAGGTATTTTGACGTTTTTGAGTATAGCTTGAAATCTAATTGATCGATTCAAACAAGCCCTTAAATTAAAGGTATTTGAGCCCTCTAAAACTTTCTTTTACATACTTTTGAAATAGGATAAGTATTTTGACGATAGCGATTTAACTTAAAAAATTCGTTTTTATGGCAAAAATTGAGGTCGAAAATTTACATATCAAACAGATAAATCCAGTTTGATTTTTTTTCGTGAAGCTGACATTTTTACAAAATGAACAAGCTAATAATGATAAAAATACATGGAAAATGGCGAAGTTATGAATTTTTTAGTAGAAGACCAAAATTCAGCTTTTTGACGATTTTTATTTTATTTTGTAATATGTTTATTCTTTAATGAACACCTAAATAAAGTGCATGATTGGAATTTCTTGAGTTTTTTACGTACTTTTTTCACCGAAAACATTATTCAAAATTTAAATTTGACATGACTCCGCAAACGTGAATTCTTTTGTTTCTCGTGTTGGCATAGTGACATTTTACTGATATTTTTTGATATTTCAACAAGGTATTGTAGCCATATGAATGCATCCCTTGTTTGCAAGACGTTGTCAACACGTCGATTAGGACCACAATTTATGGCCCTCCGAAGTTATTTGTTTGTTTATGTCTGGCAGAGAGGCGGGCGACGTCGGCAAGTGTCGAATATACGTTTTTAAGAAAAGCAGGGCATTCAATTAGAACCTTTCGTTAGATACACTAGACTTTAGTTTTTGTTTGATTGTTTTATTCTAAATAGTAATTAAAGCTTATTTTAAATCATAGTCTAATTTCCTTTATTTAAATTAACATAGTTTACAGTTCAGGTGCGGGGTAAACTTACGTGAATTTACGGTTACCTGTGTTTTAGTTAAGTTAATTATTTAGTGATTAGTGTTAAGTTACGTGAGTGTAAACAAAAAGAGAAACGATGGGCAAAGGAAAACGACGTTGTCGCCCTCGTAGCTCTAGCTCTTCGAGTAGTGATTCCAGCAGCGAATCGTCAAGCTCTACTGATAACAGATACAGACGTACGCGATCTGAACGGGGCTATACTCCACCGAGACGAGACAATAGGCCACCCTCTAAGGAAGGAGCCGGTACACGCAAGCGACAGTTACGCACGTCGCGAGAAAAGGTAGCATCAAGCACATCTCGCGGTTTGAGTTACGTATCAAACAAAAGCGATATTGAAGAAAATACTAGGTCCAGCCAACGAAGTTCGAGCGATACATACGAGGCCAGGATAAAACAACTGGAAACCATAATAGCGGGAATGTCGAATCAAAATCACAATTCCGGAAATCGTAGGTTAGCAGTAAAGAGTGATTGTATTCCTGAATTTTGTCCCGAAAATGAAAATATGTCCGCCGTTAAGTGGCTAGAGAAAATTGAGGAGCTTAAACAAATTAACGATTGGGACGAAGTAACGACAATTTACCACATGCAAGCTCGATTTTCTGGAATGGCGAAATCTTGGTATCACAGTTTAAGTTCGATACGACATACCTGGCCCGAATGGAAAGTTTTAGTTGCCAAGACTTTTCCCGACCATGTCGATTACGCTAAGGCCCTTAGGAAAATGTTAAACAGAGAAAAACTGTTAACTGAAACAATGACAGCATATTATTTCGGCAAGATGGAATTATTAAGAACTTGTCAAGTAACAGGAAAGAATGCAGTTTCATGCATAATAGATGGTATTCCAAATGCCGCTATTCAAAATGCTGCTCGTGCGGGTCGTTATGACAAACCAGAGAAACTTTTTGAAGGATATTTATCAATGTTACGTGAGGAAAGTACCATTGAAGTATCGACACAAAAGACAGAGGGTTCGATAAGGCGACCCCCAAAAGTGGATTTACGTCATTCACTTACACGTAATAGTAAACCGTACGCAAAATCAGATGTTTTAAATGTGAGATGCTTTAACTGTAAAATGAAAGGTCATTTTCAGTCAAAGTGTCCGAAACCACGTGTTAGTTGTTCAAAATGCCATCTGTTAGGACACGAGGCCGATCGTTGCACTGTAAATGTGGGAAAACGACCAGCTGATCGACAAAATAAGGGTGAGTCGAAACCAATTTTAATATTGTCAAATAATCAGTTGTCTAGTACTTGTTATTTTATTGATTGTATAATTAACGATGAACCTATACGGGGCTTTGTAGATTCAGGTTGTGCCGCAGTCACAATTCGTGAATCGGATGCGCGTAAATTAAATTTACAGGGTGAACCTACACTAGTACGTTTGTGTGGTTATGCAGGAGGTTCTGTTGTAGCACGTTCAAAGGTTACATTAAAATTAAATGTTGATTTAGCTTTTGCTACCGTAGACGCACTCGTGGTACCTGATAATGTACAGGATGTTCCTATTATTATAGGCCAGCCATTTTTAAATAATGATAATGTCACAGTTTTAGTTAGGGGTCACCAGGTCCGACTTTTTAATCAAAATAACGTCAATATCACCAATATCGATGACTTTTTATCTAAGAAAATTGATTTATGTGTCGAGGAAACTGCTATTATCCCACCGAATTTTATAGGTCATATTTCGCTAATTAGACATGAAAACGTTAGGGATGTTTTTGTAGATCTAAAGTATCGAAATTGGAATAATAATTTTCACATTATTTTACCGTGCGTTATAAATATGAATAATAGTAGTAGCATCCCTGTTGCCAATATATCCGATAAGCCTGTTTGTTATGAAAAAGGCAGGGTACTTGCCAGAGGCTATACATGTAATGCAGATTCGAAAATACCATCTAAAACTTGCTTAACAACAAATATTGCTGATTTGCCACTTTTTACATTATTAGATATCGAAAGACAAACTAATTTAGAACTAGACAGCATTACACGTTCTAAATTACTTAAATTAATTAACGAATATAGGGATTGTTTTGCTACAAACTTAGGGGAGGTTGGTAAAACAAACGTAACGGAAATGTCGATCTCACTATCCGATAGTGAACCAGTAACGTATCGCCCTTACCGTATGCCTTTCACAAAACGCGAAAAAGTCCGCACAATAGTCCAAGACCTTATTGATCATGGTATAGTTCAAGAGTCAGAGTCTCCTTATGCTAGTCCTATACTGCTAGTAAAGAAAAAGAACGGCGAAGAAAGAATGTGCATAGATTATAGGGCCATAAATCGCAAAACTATTAAAAATAAATACCCACTGCCACGAATTGATGACCTTCTAGATAATCTAGAAGGAAATACTTATTATACAACGTTAGACCTCGCCTCTGGGTATCATCAAATCCCGATGGAAGAAAGTTCCATATCGAAAACTGCTTTTGTAACTCCAGATGGCCATTACGAATATTTAAGGATGCCTTTTGGGTTGGTAAATGCACCAGCAGTCTTCCAAAGGGCTATGAATAAAATATTAGGTCCTTTACGCTTTGACAGTGCGATGGCATATCTTGATGATGTACTTATACCGTCAGTGTCTCTAGAACAAGGCATGGAACGGCTCGAAAATGTCCTAAATCTTTTTAGAGATGCTGGATTGACATTAAGATTTAATAAGTGCCATTTTCTTCAGTCTAAAATTGAATACCTAGGTCACGAAATAACTGGAGGGGGTATTAGACCTGGTCGCGATAAAATAAAAGCCGTAGCAGATTTTGCAGCACCCAAGGATGTTCACGAAGTTAGGCGATTTTTAGGACTTGCCAGTTATTTTAGAAAATTTATCGAAGGATTCGCCGCCATCGCTAAGCCTTTAACTAAGCTAACATGCAAAAACACTCCCTTTGTATGGGAAGAACAACAGCAGAGTACGTTTGACAATTTAAAAAAGAAGCTAGTAGAACGGCCCATTCTGGCCATTTATAACAGAGAAGCCGAAACGGAAGTACATTGTGACGCCAGTAAGGTTGGGCTAGGGGGAATCCTTTTACAACGGCAAAAGGATAATATTCTTAAACCAGTGCAATATTTTAGTAGAGCCACCACCAAAGAAGAGCAACAATACCACTCTTATGAGCTTGAAACTTTAGCCGCTGTATGCGCTCTAAAGAAGTTCAGGATATATTTAATTGGTATAAAGTTTAAAATTGTTACCGACTGTAACTCACTACGTCACACCCTTATGAAACGAGACTTAGTTCCCCGTATTGCTAGGTGGTGGTTATCAATTCAAGAGTTTGACTTTGATATCGAATACCGTGCCGGAACTAAAATGAGCCATGTAGACGCATTGAGCCGAAGTACCATTATACCTACAGATCAATCACTTGACGTAATGATTGTAAATATTGAGGAGGATGACTGGGTGCTTTCAGCACAACTCCAAGACAACACATGTAAAAACATTATAG